CCAGGAGGAGGGAAAGCTCTTTCTGCTTACTTGAGGTAAAAATGCTTTTTTTCCCCCCCCATCAGCAGCTTTTTGAATAGCCTCCTCCAGAATCTTACCAAATAGGAGATCCCCCTGGAAGGAAAGGCCACACAAGGATGCCTTAGAGGCATAGTCCGCTCCCCACGAATGAAGCCATAAGGCCCTTCTAGAAGCCACAGACAGGACTATACTCTTGGCAATCATGCGAGTCATGTCTAGAGAGGCTTCTGAACAGAATTCCGTGGCAAGGTTAAAGTCCTTGAGTCTCTCCAAGAGATGTTCCCTACGGACACCCCGATCAATGTCCTCCTCCAAATTAGTGAGCCACACTCTTAAGGCCCTGGAGAGAGTGGTCAGTGCCACTGCCGGATGAAGGGCGGAGCCCAGGGCCAAGTAGGCTTTAATCAAATGTCCATCCATACGCTTTTCCATAGGCTCCCTGAGATATGCCATGGAGTCAATAGAAAGCGTAGTTTTCTTTGCCATATGAATTACAGCAGCGTCAATCTTAGGAACTAAATTCCATAGGCAGCAGTCCACAGCAGAGAAAGGATAAATCCTTGTGAATTTATTTTTCAAGGTGGGTTTTCATTTCTGGCTTATTCCATTCTAGAAGGATCATGTCCCTGATCAAGGAATGCACCGGGAAGGTAGGTCTATTCGGTTTTAGGTCCTCAAAGAACCTGTCAGCCTCTCTTAATTCAGACTTTTCTTCCGTGAGACTAAGAGTGTCTCTGAGAAGGGTAATAAGTCTATCATTAGACTTTGAGTCAAGGGACCTGGAGGTATATTCAACTTCCTCCTCACCATCATCTGAGACCTCCCACGCATCAGGGTCTTCTCCAGAGTTGGAAGACTGAGTTTCCACTCTGCGTCTCTTACTCGGACCACTAGACACCGTGGTAGACTTAAAGCCCTCAGCAATAGCTTGGGAAATCCAGAGCTTAAGGTTGTCCCGTTGGGAACCCCTACTGGGGACATCTGCTGCTTCCAATAAGCATTCCCTGCAAAGGTTTCTTCCATGTGGAGCAAGTGACCCTTGATTTCCTTGCTGGAGAATCCAGATGCTTGCTGGGGCTGAAATAAAGCCATATATGACATATATTACAGGCTTAGTTTGGCACTCTTTTAACAACCCCCCCCCATTAAAAAGTTAATGGCTCACCTATGTTTTCTAGAGAGGGATCTTGCAGAGGCAGAGGGAGAATACATACTACAAAGGAAATTCAAAACCCAATTCCCAATAAAAAAGCCAGAGGCAAACTGACAAACAAAAAAAACCTCAAACATGAAACGCAGAAGAACTGCTAATCCTACCTAATAATGACAGTAAAAACCTCCAGGCAGCCAAGAAATAACAGGATGAACTTCAGAAAAACCAGCACCGAAATCGCCTTAACAGCTGATGCAGTGCACAGGCAGAGTGTCTGTATCATCAAGTCTAAATAGAGCCGGGGAAAACGTCCGGTCCACGCAATCGCAGACCGCTGGAATGCTCACGGCCAATGCAAATCACTTCCGGGTTCGGCCGCGATTACAATTCCGACTGCCGTAACGCATACCGCGTTCCAGCCAACAACGCTGGTACCCCCAGGAAGCCACAGTAAGTCGAAGTGCCCCACGGCCGCAGGAAACACACTGCCCACCAAGAACCCAGGAGACACGCACCCCAGGGAACCACCTGAAAACCAGACAAAGAGCAAAACACTACAGGTCTGTGCAGGGTCTCCCCACATGAGGACCCCCTAGTGTGGATTCCAAAGAACTGCCATCAAGGTATGGGGGGTAATTTAGACCCCAATTACTAGGGGCAATCCAATAATAAGGGGAATTTTTAAGGATAACCAACCCCATTAATAAACTAGAACAGTGACTCCCTCAGAACACCTTCCATCTAAGTCCCACGCTGCAGTTCAGTACTTACACTGAACCTGACCCAGTTAGTCCTGCTCATGCAGGCTGTTTACTGGATCCTTCAAATGAAGAGAGGCTGAACTTAATTTGGAACAAACCCACGACAAACGCAGGAAGGTGGCCATAAAATAAAATGTAAAAAGTCCTGTAGAACTTGCTAAGGACAGGAAAAAAGACTGAGGTGTAAGGGGAGGAGGGACTCTTTATACCCATCAGTCTAATTAATTAATCTAATTAATTAATGTCCTGTGACTGCTAAGGGAGGAGCTACCCATAAGTGATGCTGCCATGATTAGCCAGGAATAGGAATTTCTACACAATAATCTCACATTCCCGAACCACATACCTTCTGCCTCTAAAACATTAAAGGGAGTTGTCCAATAAAGAGCCTCCCGCTCTGTGAAGGATGCTGGCCTCATAGCATCTGGAATTACATCCATAACCAGGCTTTCATTTTATTACAATGTGAGTTTGCAATGTGTTTGAGAGTATAACAGAGCTCCACAGCAATAATACTCCCAGTAATGTGTTTCAGTGTATAACAGATCTCCACAGCAATAATACTCCCAGTAATGTGTCTGAGTGTATAACAGAGCTCCACAGCTCCACAGCTGCTCCCAGTAATGTGTCTGAATGTATAACAGAGCTTCACAGCAAGAATACTCCCAGTAATGTGTCTGAGTGTATAACAGAGTTTCACAGCAAGAATACTCCCAGTAATGTGTCTGAGTGTATAACAGAGCTCCACAGCAATAATACTCCCAGTAATGTGTCTGTGTGTATACCAGAGCTTCACAGCAATAATACTCCCAGTAATGTGTCTGTGTGTATACCAGAGCTTCACAGCAATAATACTCCCAGTAATGTGTCTGAATGTATAACAGAGCTTCACAGCAATAATACTCCCAGTAATGTGTCTGAGTGTATAACAGAGCTCCACAGCAATAATACTCCCAGTGATGTGTCTGAGTGTATAACAGAGCTCCACAGCTCCAAGCTGCTCCCAGTAATGTGTCTGAATGTATAACAGAGCTCCACAGCAATAATACTCCCAGTAATGTGTCTGAGTGTATAACAGAACCCCACAGCAATAATACTCCCAGTAATGTGTCTGAGTGTATAACAGAGCTCCACAGCAATAATACTCCCAGTAATGTGTCTGAGTGTATAACAGAGCTCCACAGCAATAATACTCCCAGTAATGTGTCTGAGTGTATAAGAGAGCTCCACAGCAATAATACTCCCAGTAATGTGTCTGAGTGTATAACAGAGCTCCACAGCAATAATACTCCCAGTAATGTGTCTGAGTGTATAACAGAGCTCCACAGCAATAATACTCCCAGTAATGTGTCTGAGTGTATAACAGCCAAGTAATACTCCCAGTAATGTGTCTGAGTGTATAACAGAGCTCCACAGCAATAATACTCCCAGTAATGTGTCTGAGTGTATAACAGAGCTCCACAGCAATAATACTCCCAGTAATGTGTCTGAGTGTATAACAGAGCTCCACAGCAATAATACTCCCAGTAATGTGTCTGAGTGTATAACAGAGCTCCACAGCAATAATACCCCCAGTAATGTGTCTGAGTGTATAACAGAGCTCCCCAGCAATAATACTCCCAGTAATGTGTCTGAGTGTATAACAGAGCTACACAGCAATAATACTCCCAGTAATTTGTCTTTAAACTACAATAAATGTGTTAAGAAATCAGTCTGTGGAAATAAGATACATTGTTCTTGTTCTAAATATCATAATAGTTGGATAAATTGTTAATCACTAGCCTACATGCTAAATGCCAGTGCATTAGTGCAGAGAACAGCAGTAAAAAACAGAAAATAGGTTGTGCCGAAAATGTAATACAATAATAGTAGAAACAATATTAGTAAAAACAATGCGTACTTACATAAAAATGAGTAAAAATTGAATAAAGTCCTGAAAAAGTGTAAAATTAACAGTAGTCCAAGTTTGATTGAAGAGATAAATAAGTGGAATCGATAGGCGTTGTAGGATCCAAAGAAGTCAGGTATCCAGATGATGTGGAAGCATGCAGATAAGAGAGATAAATTCCAATAGTGTAAACCTGTACTTGAAAGATGATGGCAATAAAAACAGTCCTTGTCACTCACCTATTGTAGAGCTTTAGCCAGCTCAGGAGTGTATAGCATTCAGTGGCGTTGATCCCCCACTGGTAGGAATTGGTGTTGGTAGGTACAGGTCCTCGGTATGAAGAAGAAGATAAAAACAAATAGTGCTCTCTGTATATAGCAATAACGGATAAGAATATTAGAAAGGTATACTACTCACATATAAGTGAGCAGGAATATACTGCTCACTATATAGGCTTAGGTGGTATAATCCCCAACTGGGATTCTTGAATGAGTGAATAATCCAGGTAAAAAGGATAAAAACAATAAAAAAGAATAAAAATAAAGGTATATGGCACTAGCACAATATTAGGAGCCAATATTCCTTTAATAATAAATAATAAAATACATTAAAAAACCAGCCAAACGCGTTTCACCAGAAAAGGCTTCATCAATTGCCACTTGTACATTAGTGCAGAGAACGTACTGCAAACCTTCTAGGACTTTATAACCCTATTTGATACGTAGCACATTTACAGAATTAGAGGCTGTTTTGTTTGGAGCGTACCCATTCCGGTTTATGTTACATCGAGTGACCGGTTATTTTATTAATACCTGTATATGTTTATTTGGCTGTCCAGATGTACAGATTTCGTACACAGTGAGATTTAGTACTACCCGTACTACGACCTACAGCTAATTGAAATCTGAATGGCAACATTTGGACTACAACAGAAAAATGTCCGACATTCACGGCTTTTTGCTAATTTGCCTAAATTTTACCATTTACATATTAATTAGCTACAATTCGGAGTTTAGTGAATGAAATGTAATGTGGGTTCTAATTATCTTCCGTTAGTTACAGGTTCATGTTTTCGAAGGTGTACCAGAAGCAGGCTGGCACTAGATGGCGCCAGTGTACCTGTGCCAGGCTGGGTGAATTTAAGCAGTGACGAAGCTGGGGGAGGGGGATCACTATGAGCTTTTGCTGGCAGGAAGTGCCTGTTTCGCTCTGTGCAAGCAGCTTCTTCCCCCTTCACCATGGCAGTCTGGACACGAGCCTCCAAGTCTGGGCTCCTGGACCTTCTGCTGCAGGACCACTGGGTGCGCGTCCAGGCTGACCTGACTGGAGAAAGTTTGAGCCTGACCTCAGAGACTGAACCCTACGGAAGTCTAAACGGTCTCAGCAATGGTACCGATTTGGTCCATGGCAGCCCCCGAAGGGGCCCCGCTTCTCCTGGACGCCCCGGAGCCAACTCTCCCCGGGCAGGTTCAGATTGCGGATCAGAATCTGGTCTCGGCAGCCCCGGAGCTCGCTGCCCTTTGGATAGTCCATTGGTCGACATGCCAACGCGGAGAGTTCGGGTGGTGAAGCAGGAATCTGGAGGGCTGGGGATCAGTATTAAGGGAGGGCAAGAAAATAAGATGCCGATTCTTATCTCAAAGATCTTCCCAGGACTGGCAGCAGATCAGAGTGGGGCATTAAGGGTCGGAGATGCCATCCTGTCTGTGAACGGGTCTGATTTACGGAACGCAACGCACGATCAAGCTGTACAAGTGCTCAAAAAAGCCGGCAAGGAGGTGACATTAGAAGGTAAGTGAGTGGGGCAGCCAGTGGCATATTATTATTATTATTGCCTTTTATATAGCACCAACAGATTCCGTAGCGCTTATTATGAGAGGGGGAATTTAACTATAAATAGGACAATTACAAGAAAACTTACAGGAACTGTAGGCTGAAGAGGACCCTGCTCAAACAAGCTTACAGTCTATAGATCTGAGCCCGAATCCCTGGGTAACCTACCACTCTACAAGAGTCTCAATCACTACAGAACCAATTACCACAAAGACTAGATTTTCTTAGCCAAGAATCCCACACATCAGCCACTTGTTTAAGGATGAACTCGATGGAGATTATTATGTAGCTATGTAAGTACTCCTAGTGGCCACCAAGTACCGTGCCACTCTGAAATGAAGCTGGCCCCTTGCTCCTTCCCATGTACCCCATGGAGCAGGGGTGGTGACCAGGAGCAGTGTAGAGGATGCAATCGGGTGAAACGTTGTCGGGGTTATTCCTTAAATTGTACTACGTAGCAAACTGAAATCCAAATGGCAACAATTAAACAAAAATAAGCTGAACTGGGACATTTTAAAGTTCAGGAATAGTTACGCCATCAGGATCTTACTACCAATCAGAGTTTAGTGAAAAGTCAGTTAATGTAACATTTTATGCAATGGCCCCAACTCATCCGCCACCGCCTTATCTGTCCCCGATTATCGTTTGCGGTTACAGAGGGAACAGTTTATATATTACACTTTCGTTTAGTTCCCCATATGCCACGAGTTCCCCATCTCTGCTCGGGGCTGGACAGTAACTGTTCTAAGCAGACGGGTGGTGTGGTTATTGGTGTGACAGGTTAAAGCTCTCACTGGAAGGGAATCTGCCACAATCCATCTCCTCTTACAACAGAGGGTGGAAATCCTATTAACAGACATTTTGGGAATTTCTTTAACTCTATCCCTGCTGAGCGGTGTCTAATCTCCGCAGCGAGGTGCTTGTTCACACGGCAGAGGGATTTGCTGAGTCTGCATGTGACACTAATCGGGTTCCCTTGGCATTTGTTACAATCACCTTCCCCCACACAAGTGATCCTGTAAAGTTTCGCTGGTAGAGAGGCTCATCCCTACCCTCCTAATCCATGTGTCTGGGACTTCAGGAATGATCCTGCCTCTGGCATTAGACTCTCCTGTAAGGAGATCATTAGTGACACAGAAAGCAATAACTTCTTAATTAAAGGATGCAGTAAGCGCAGTCTGTTATATAGGATGTTAGGGCAAATTAGTAGTTTAAACAGACTAAAATTTACTCACGTCCATAAAGTTTATTCTTTCTTGATTTCAAAGTGGGAACTAAAATGTTCCAAGTTATTAAAAAAGTCCCAGTGTAATGGGCTAAAAGGGCGCAACATTCCATTGGTTTCCATGGTGATTGTATCAGCTGTAGATCAATCAGCAGGAACATTCCATTGGTTTCCATGGTGATTGTATCAGCTGTAGAGCAATCAGCAGGAACATTCCATTGGTTTCCATGGTGATTGTATCAGCTGTAGATCAATCAGCAGGAACATTCCATTGGTTTCCATGGTGATTGTTTCAGCTGTAGATCAATCAGCAGGAACATTTCATTGGTTTCCATGGTGATTGTTTCAGCTGTAGATCAATCAGCAGGAACATTCCATTGGTTTCCATGGTGATGGTTTCAGCTGTAGAGCAATCAGCAGGGACATTCCATTGGTTTCCATGGTGATTGTATCAGCTGTAGATCAATCAGCAGGAACATTCCATTGGTTTCCATGGTGATTGTTTCAGCTGTAGATCAATCAGCAGGAACATTTCATTGGTTTCCATGGTGATTGTATCAGCTGTAGATCAATCAGCAGGAACATTCCATTGGTTTCCATGGTGATTGCTCCCCAAAGTTGCTTTTTAGTTTGAGGGAAAAACTAATCACTTTTTATTGCTATTGTTATTGCTATATCGTATACCACTATTGTAGATTAAAGTGCAGCATGGGCTTCAGTTCACTACAATTAAGTTTTTTTTAAAGTATAAACACCAATTATATTGAAAAAAGTAGTTTCTACAGATAACATTTGTGCAATCGTTTTCCAGTCAAAATGCACTTTTAACAACTGAATGCATGTTTCTATATCGCTGTTACTGCTCCCACTGGAAGGTTATTCCAGGTATCTACTACCCTTTCTATATCTGTTACTGCTCCCACTGGAAGGTTATTCCAGGTATCTACTACCCTTTCTATATCCCTGTTACTGCTCCCACTGGAAGGCTATTCCAGGTATCTACTACCCTTTCTATATCTGTTACTGCTCCCACTGGAAGGCTATTCCAGGTATCTACTACCCTTTCTATATCACTGTTACTGCTCCCACTGGAAGGCTATTCCAGGTATCTACTACCCTTTCTATATCACTGTTACTGCTCCCACTGGAAGGCTATTCTAGGTATCTACTACCCTTTCTATCGCTGTTAACTGGAAAGCTATTCCAGGTATCTACTACCCTTTCTACTATCCCACTGGAAGGCTACTCCAGGTATCTACTACCCTTTCTATATCACTGTTACTGCTCTCACTGGAAGGTTATTCCAGGTATCTGCCACCCTTTCTATATCACTGTTACTGCTCTCACTGGGAGGTTATTCCAGGTATCTACTACCCTTTCTATATCACTGTTACTGCTCCCACTGGAAGGCTATTCCAGGTATCTACTACCCTTTCTATATCCCTGTTACTGCTCCCACTGGAAGGCTATTCCAGGTATCTACTACCCTTTCTATTTCACTGTTACTGCTCCCACTGGAAGGCTATTCCAGGTATCTACTACCCTTTCTTTATCACTGTTAGCCTTTTTTACAATAGTTGAAAACTGCAGGATGTGAAGAGTAAATCGACCTGTGTGTCTACCTGATTGACAAGCACTGGTGTTGTGTATTCAGCCAAACGTTTCTTGAAAACCGCAATGATTTACACAGTCTGAATAGAGGGACTGGGAATTAAGAAGTAGTGTCCCTTTAAAAAAAAAATAATAACCTTTATCTGTATCATTTAAACCATTCAAATCCTACAGCACACTTGGCTCCAGGCGAGAATTCCTGTGTGTTATCCCAATAACAGTGACAGAGCTGGGTTTAGAGAAGGGTTAATTTGGCAGCTCCAATCCCAGCTGGAAGCAGTCAGGGAGACGCACAATCCCCAGGCCTTGGGTGTGTGTATCTCAGCAATGTGTGCTGGCCCGCACTCTGGAATGACGGGGCTCATTCACTAAACAGCGTACTGGGCTGACCTGAAAAATCTATAGAAACGTTGTGTTCAAAGTCGCTGATTTGGATAAAAATTCAACGACCGCGCTATAGTAATTCAGTCTTCAATTCATCACAATTTATCGTGTATTTAATGCATTAACGATGGTTTTATTTCACAAAAAAACAGCCAAATAAGTGAGCTCACACCTCCAGCTTTTTACACCCATTTTTCACATTTATTGGGATAAATCACCAGGTCCCATGATGCTGTGCCTGCCTTATCCTAGTTTAGACCTGTGGAGATGTGCAATAAATGACAGAGAGGAAGAGTACAGAGTGGAGTGAGGAATTCAACCCCTATCCTCCTCAGACAATGGATACCAGTGTTTGAAGACGCAGACTTATATATCTCTGTTAGCCTTTACTGCTCCCACTGGAAGGCCATTCCAGGTATCTACTGCCCTTTCTATATCACTGTTACTGCTCCCACTGGAAGGCCATTCCAGGTATCTACTACCCTTTCTATATCGCTGTTACTGCTCCCACTGGAAGGCTATTCCAGGTATCTACTGCCCTTTCTATATCGCTGTTACTGCTCCCACTGGAAGGCTATTCCAGGTATCTACTACCCTTTCTATATCAATGTTAGCCTTTTTTACAATAGTTGAAAACTGCAGCATGTGAAGAGTAAATCGACCTCTGTGTCTATGTGATTGACCAGCACTGGTGGAGTAATAGGTGTGATCTTTGAGTCTGAGAATAGAGAGGGATCAGTACAAGGGGATGCACAGGTTGTAGTATTAATAAGAGAGGCGAGGTATAGTATTAACGAGGGAGGCGAGGTATAGTATTAACGAGAGAGGCGAGGTATAGTATTAACGAGAGAGGCGAGGTATAGCATTAACGAGGGAGGCGGGGTATAGCATTAACGAGGGAGGCAGGGTATAGTATTAACGAGAGAGGCGGGGTATAGCATTAACGAGAGTGGAGGGGTATAGCATTAACGAGGGAGGCGAGGTATAGCATTAATGAGGGAGGCGGGGTATAGCATTAACGAGGGAGGCAGGGTATAGCATTAACGAGAGAGGCGGGGTATAGCATTAACGAGGGAGGCGGGGTATAGTATTAACGAGAGAGGCGGGGTATAGCATTAACGAGAGTGGAGGGGTATAGCATTAACGAGAGAGGCGAGGTATAGTATTAACGAGGGAGGCGGGGTATAGTATTAACGAGAGAGGCGAGGTATAGTATTAACGAGGGAGGCGGGGTATAGTATTAACGAGAGAGGCGAGTTATAGTATTAACGAGGGAGGCGGGGTATAGCATTAACGAGAGAGGCGGGGTATAGTATTAACGAGGGAGGCGGGGTATAGTATTAACAAGAGAGGCGGGGTATAGTATTAACGAGGGAGGCGGGGTATAGTATTAACGAGAGTGGAGGGGTATAGCATTAATGAGGGAGGCGGGGTATAGCATTAACGAGGGAGGCGGGGTATAGTATTAACGAGAGAGGCGGGGTATAGTATTAACAAGAGAGGCGGGGTATAGTATTAACGAGAGAGGCGGGGTATAGTATTAACGAGAGAGGCGGGGTATAGTATTAACGAGAGAGGCGGGGTATAGTATTAACGAGAGAGGCGAGGTATAGTATTAACGAGAGAGGTGGGGTATAGTATTAACGAGGGAGGCGGGGTATAGCATTAACGAGGGAGGCGGGGTATAGTATTAACGAGAGAGGCGGGGTATAGTATTAACAAGAGAGGCGAGGTATAGTATTAACGAGAGAGGCGGGGTATAGTATTAACGAGAGAGGTGGGGTATAGTATTAACGAGAGAGGCGGGGTATAGTATTAACGAGAGAGGCGAGGTATAGTATTAACGAGAGAGGTGGGGTATAGTATTAACGAGAGAGGCGAGGTATAGTATTAACGAGAGAGGCGAGGCATAGTACTAATGACAATGATATAGTAGATAATTGAATAATGCTTTCCTATTTGGAGGTCTAATGCGTGTGCGGAGCCTGACCCAGCGCCGAGGGACATCGGCTTTTAACCCCGTTAGCGACATGGGATGGGGGGCAGGAGGAAGGGAGGCACTCCAGGATACTCCAGTGCCAGGAAAATGGCTTTGTTTTCCTGGCACTGGAGAATCCCTTTAAGCCAGTGTTCTAACCAAGAACACGATTTTCCATATGAACCAACTGATTTCCGTTTTACTATTAATTATTTGTTGCAAGTGTATCAGATGCCTTAACAAACTCCAAGTATTAATGAGAGTGGGGAGCAGTATCAGAATTCCGAGACACTGCCCGCCGTGCTAGTTTTGTTACAGCATCGTCTTCTCACAGCTCTCCCGGGGAGCCAGTGACATGGACGGTGGCCGTTCCCAGTTTTCTGTCTCTGAGTATCAGAAAATGTGTCTGTTTAAGGCTGTTATCCTTGGCTGCCAGCGAGCACGTCCATATTTTTGGAGTCTACATACTAAATGAAACGAGCTCTGCTCCCACTTGGCAATTAAACCTAAAACTCTATAAACATCACAAAAAACCTCCATTTAGGGGCAGTGGAAAGAGTAGTTCAGCTTGTTATCGTGGTTCTAGGGCACACATTACTGCAACGCTAACGTGGCCTGACCTTTCTGGAAATTTCAAGTGTCGCTGGGCGTAAACGCCAACCAAAAACCATTTTCCTGATGTCACTGGTCGGAGATTTGGCTGAATCTGTGCCATTTCCTCACAGCTGCACCTCACAAATCTGTCACCAACTAAAAACAGTCCAAGAGGCCTCGTCTGTCTCCTCGCTCCTTCCATACCAGAACCCAACTTCTCCCTTTCTCTAAATTTCTCAGTTCTTCTCTCCTCCATATATGGATAACATGTCCAAATAGATGTTATCTTCAGACAGAATGGAATTTCTGGTTGGTTGGAAGAGAGGTGGGGACAGGTTATGTAAAGAGGGGGCTAGAAAACAATTAATATGATATAACGCCTACAGATTCTGCAGCGCTGTACAATAACTAAACAAGACAAACACTGAATTCTAACAAAACACAGTAGGTGTAGAGTTTAAATCTAAAAGAGCCAATAGATACAAGTAAAAAAATGTGTAACGACTAATGCAGCGTGTCCCTTAGAGGGTTAAAATCATATTGAAATGTTCTCCCTGTGTTATTCTGGGAACGTTTTTGGTACAGTGTGAAATGCATCCCTTACTGATTGAAAGAAAATAACAAACAGAATCCATAAGGCAAACATTTCTTTTATTGGCTTCGACATTTGTGACCATGTTGGCAGTGAAACAGTTAAAACATAATAATCTTTATAACTATTACACACGGTGGTTTATACAGAAAGAAAATATCTCTATTCCATGCAATCTACAGGACGGGAGGCTTTCAAAACGTCTGTTTTTATTAACTTTTTCGGGGCTGGGATGCTTTTGAATAATATGTCACTTTATATATGTTGTTTGCAGTGCGCTTTCTGCAAGATGTCTCTCCGTACATCAGGAAGGCATCGCTGGTTGGGGACCTGCCGTGGGACAGCCCTGCACACAGCGATAACTCAGGGTCTCCAAAGCACATATCCAGAGACTGCAAGGTCATCCCCTTAAAAATGTGCTACGCAGCGCGCAACCTCAGCATGTCAGACCCCGAAGGCAGGTGAGTGGACACAGTGTGAGCCAGATCTAGGCTTATATCCAATTCTCGTTCCCACCATGCGTGTCTGTCTTTCAGGTTGGTAGAACTTCGCTCTCCAGACGGGGCGCACTCCATCGTGCTCCGGTGCAGAGATTCAGCCTCAGCACTGTCCTGGTCTCAGGCTCTGCACAGTAACATCACCGCTCTGCTGCCTCAGGTCCTTGCGGAGACCCAGCGCATGTTGGGAGCTACGAGTGAGGATCTCAGATACCTGGGCTGGGTTGCTGAACAGGTGATGTATTGTTGGGCTTTGCTCCCTCCAGCCTTTTGCGTTCTTGTCAGTGTAAACTGGGAGTTATTTTAAGTGAGTTTCTGTCCCAATACGTGGCCCTGCAATTCTGGTCCTTACAATCTGAAACTACAAATCCCAAGATCCTGCTGTTGCCTGACCTGCATTGAATGTTTTTTCCTAGTGAATTCCCGTGTCATCTTCTAGCCCACTATTCATCTGTCTATTCTCTTGATAATTGTCCTATATGGGACATTTTAGTGTCTAGTCACTAAATGCTGAATTTGTTTTTATAAATTTGATTTCATTCAACATAATTCTCGTACATTTGGAAGCTAAAATCCCTGTGTGGTTCACGCAATGCACTAACAACCAAATGCTAACCGAATCAACTCAGATCATCGGCCAAATGGATCCCTGTTAAATTCAACTGGATAATATTGTTACATCGCTAAACACTGGATTTTGTGAATTGATTTAAAATAACTAAATTCGATCTAAAATATCAATGCTTGAAAATATAGCCGAGCTGGGGAGAGAAAAAGGCTGCCAATGTATCGGTTTGGGGGGGATTTAGGTTTGGGGTATCCGTATAGGTTTAAGGGAGGGTTTGGGTAGCATTAGAGAGACGTAGAATGGCTTAGAAGGTTGGAAGTTCCTCTCCTGGTCTGGGGATTGTTAGGGTTCTGCACTAGAATGGGAATTCAAGAGAGCAAAACTGGAAAAATTATCTGGCAATGCTATCAGTTCGACTACTCTGGCCTTAGATTCAAAATTCACTTTGGTAAATAACCCTCTTAATCGGGAGAATTGAAACAACCAAATGAAGGCAGTTTGTTTACGGTTCGGCTGTTTGTTATAAACCAAGTCACTCGTTTCATATGGAGATTTATTTGTACAGAGTTCAACAAAAAACTGAACTGCAGCCAAATTAAAATGCAAATATCGGCTAAAATAACCAAATATGCCTTTGGCGAATAACAAAATGGGTTGAAATTAGGCATTTAGTAAATAGTCCCATATATATAGATATATAGGGGGATAGGGGGGACATTCTGAGTCTGAGGTTAGAACATAATCCACAGTGTCCTGGATAAACGATCAATAAACAAACCGCAATATGAATAAACCCCCCTGTCTCTCTAGACGTGATAGAGCTGCCCTGCAATTCTTCAGCTGCAGGCAGGGGAGCTGTTATTTCCCAACTCCATCAGTAGCCATTCCTGGGTTATTGGTTGCCGCCTGCAGGGTGATACAATACAGCAGCAATGTGAGCATGTGTGATACGTAGTGTCTGTTTCTATCAGACAGATTCTCTCTAAATGCACACAGACTCTCAGTATGCCCTACTGTGCTCGGCCTGTCTCCTTGTTTCCCTAATTATTGTCTGACTGTCAGTTGGTTCAGTGTTTGTCTTTTTTTCCTGCTTTACAATACCCTTCCTTCAACTATATTTAATTGGTCTCTTTACCCTGAGGTTGCATTTTCTTTACCCTGAGTTTGCGGTCTCTTTACCCTGAGTTTGCGGTCTCTTTGCCCTGAGCTGGCAGACTCTTTACCCTGAGCTGGCGGACTCTTTACCCTGAGCTGGCAGACTCTTTACCCTGAGCTGGCGGTCTCTTTACCCTAAGCTGGCAGACTCTTTACCCTGAGCTGGCGGACTCTTTACCCTAAGCTGGCAGACTCTTTACCCTGAGCTGGCGGACTCTTTACCCTAAGCTGGCAGACTCTTTACCCTGAGCTGGCAGACTCTTTGCCCTGAGTTTGCGGTCTCTTTACTCTGAGCTGGCAGACTCTTTACCCTGAGCTGGCGGACTCTTTACCCTAAGCTGGCAGACTCTTTACCCTGAGCTGGCAGTCTCTTTGCCCTGAGTTTGCGGTCTCTTTGCCCTGAGTTTGCGGTCTCTTTACCCTGAGCTGGCAGACTCTTTACCCTGAGTTTGCTGTCTGTCCCCATTCAGTTGTGTTTACTGTTGCCTCCTGTAACTGTGCTGCCTGCGTCTGTACTTACTTACTGTCTGTAATTTCCAGCTGTGTTTGCTGTCTGCCTCCCTAACCTGTGTTTGCTTTCTCCCCCTGTAACCCAGACTCTCTCTCTCTCTCTTTCAGTAAGCTGCGCTCTCTGTTTATCAGTGTCCTGTGCTCTCTCGCAGTATGCTGGCACTCTCTATTGCTGTAAGCGGCATACTTTGTTCTCCCCCTCTGCATAAGATGCTCTCTTATCTCATGAGATGATCTTAGCTGTCTCAGTAAGTGGTGATTGTGCTGTGTAGACTGCACTACGAGTACTTTCTCTCCATCAGTACATATCCCAGTCTTTGTATTAATCCACAATCCACGCAGTGCCTTCACAAATACCAATATTCATCTCATGTACAGGTATCTCAGGAAGACGGACGCTCCAGTTGGCACCCAGTGCTCACTGCGGTTTCTCAGAAGGACTTTCTGCTATTTGAAGCAATGCCACGGACAAGAGGGGAATGGGAGAGTCCAAAAAAGCGACTGCCTCTAATATCTACCAGGTACAAACCATACGCGCACATTTTAAAATCACAACCTCTATGGTTTCTCAGTTCAGAGTGTTTGGTGTCGCTCAAACTAGAATTGATACCAATAGAAGCAGTGCCAAACTGCAGACCAGTACCTCTAGGATTTATACCAATAGTAGCAGTGCCAAATGGCAGACCAGAACTTCTAGAATTGATACCAATAGAAGCAGTGCCAAACTGCAGACCAGAACTTCTAGAATTGATACCAATAGAAGCAGTGCCAAACTGCAGACCAGTACCTCTAGGATTTATACCAATAGTAGCAGTGCTAAATGGCAGACCAGAACTTCTAGGATTGATACCAATAGAAGCAGTGCCAAACTGCAGACCCAGAATTTCTAGGATTTTTACCAATACAAGCAGTGCCAAATGGCAGACCAGTACCTCTAGGATTTATACCAATAGTAGCAGTGCTAAATGGCAGACCAGAACTTCTAGGATTTTTACTAATACAAGCACTGCCAAACCACAGACCAGAACTTCTAGGATTTTAGCCAATAAAGGCAGAGTGAATACATTTACCAATCCATCATTTTCCATCTTTGACCTATAATGTGCAGATTCCTAGTCATCCACAGGTTAGCTAAATGTCATTGTGTACATGTAGTAATGCTGGGAATCTCCAACGGCAGCCAGCAGTAATAGTTTGGTGTCCCCTCTTCCAATCCAGGTTGGTACACTCGGGTCCTGGACATGGATCACCCTCCCTTGGGTCCCACCTAACCTTCGGCACTCGCACAGGTTGTCCTCAGGGCATTGAGACACATGTGTTTCGAGTGGAGAATCAACGGGATCTGTCTGCATGGACCAGGACGTTGGTGCAGGGTTGCCATGCTGCCGCAGAACTCACCCAGGAAGTCACCGTCAGTAAGTGGCACACCAGAGACGCCTATTTATGAATTTTAATTTTAGGGTAATGGTAGCTTCACTGAAGAGTATGCAATTTGCACAGGAAATCTGATGGTTAATGTGTGCGGAAAGTCTGTTTCATTGTGTAATAACCTGGCTTTCAGACTCACAAGTTCCTCTAATTTAATTAATTTTATTTCTTAATTAAGTTCTATAATAGCATATGAAATCAACATTAAAATCCTCCCCCTCAAGCACTGTATCATAAAAGTGCATTACAAAATCCTCCTCTGCAGGCACCGCACCATGAAATCTGCATTAAAACCCTCCTCCGCAGGCACCGTGCCATAAAATCTGCATTAAAACCCTCCTCCGCAGGCACCGTCCCATAAAATCTGCATTAAAACCCTCCTCCGCAGGCACCGGCCATGAAATCTGCATTAAAACCCTCCTCCGCAGGCACCGTGCCATAAAATCTGCATTAAAACCCTCCTCCGCAGGCACCGGGCCATGAAATCTGCATTAAAACCCTCCTCTGCAGGCACCGGGCCATGAAATCTGCATTAAAACCCTCCTCCGCAGGCATCGGGCCATGAAATCTGCATTAAAACCCTCCTCCGCAGGCACCGGGCCATGAAATCTGCATTAAAACCCTCCTCCGCAGGCATCGTGCCATGAAATCTGCATTAAATCTCTCCCCCGCAGGCACCGTGCCATGAAATCTGCATTAAAACCTCCTCCGCAGGCACCGGGCCATGAAATCTGCATTAAAACCCTCCTCCGCAGGCACCGGGCCATGAAATCTGCATTAAATCTCTCCCCTGCAGGCACCGCGCCATGAAAGTGCGTTACTCCCCCCCCCCCAGCATGGTGCTTTTAATTTCTATTAAGAATACAGCTGCTTATAACTAGCGAACAATGGATATTTGCCTTTGTAGATTTCGCAGACATACCAGAGGCCTGCGATCACTGCTAGAGTACCACACAGAGAATACTATATATGGAGTATGTTTATTAATGTCATGTGCTAACACATATCTGTACGCAGGCTGCACACTGCGCGGAGAAGGCGTCTCACTTTCCATACACTACGACACGGGGTTCACAGTGTGTCGTGGGGAGCCCTCAGGACCAGTATTGCACAGATATCCCTTTGAGAAGCTCCGGATGTCAGCGGACGATGGAAAAAGAAACCTGTATCTGGATTTTGGGGGTCCAGAGGGAGAGCTGGTAAGATGAGAATGTGCATCAGTTCTGTGGGGTCCACCAGACCAGGAATTGTATGTTTTTAGCCAAAATATTCCCTGCGAAAAAATTCTACAACTAATTTATTACTCCAACTTTGTTACTGGAAGTTTGGCTTATGATTTTCAGTTTCCTGGTCAGTTCTCCCAAATTCACAGTTTGGGTAATAAATGCCTATGTTTGCCTGTAAATGTTCGACGTACAGTCCGCCCTGTCCTGCCAGTCATTACATAATCTGTGTGTGATGGATACATTTATAGCTGATTTTGTTTATATATTTTTCACAGAGCTTTAACTAAAGAGCTACTCCAGGCACCATGACCACTACCTGTACCAGAAAACAGGGTCAGGGTACTCCTACCACCATAACCACTGCCCTAGTAGTTTATATACTTAGAGAAACCCTTTAAGTGCATTAGAATTACCCTTACTATTCTAGCCATATTCTTTGGATCTTGGAAATTTCATCCATTATGGGAAACTGACAAGAGATTTGCAAATTTCAGGAGTGGGGAAAAATGATCCAACTTTACTGTCAGGTCACTATTTTGGCTTAAAATGTATATTTCTCTTGTCAATGAATAAACCCTGCGTTTTCATTAGCTTCAACGGCTAACAACTAAAGGGCAAAGTGAATCTGCAGCAACAGCAGTAACATTAACAGGAGCATCTTTCTTATTTATCTATTTATTTACGTATATTTACTCCACTATCTGCATATATGTGTATATAATGATGGGCCAATACCTGCCTTGTGTGATGCTTTAATTGCGCAGGGCAAAGTAGTTATAGTGAGTCAGTCTGAGGTTGAAAGAAATGTTACCATTTTTCTGAAACCCTTATTACAGATAAACCGTAATGCATAGCAAGGGGTCACGTGTGCCATGGCTCTACTGATACCTAATATTCCATAAACTGAGGGGTATGCTCACTAAACAGTGTGTCGTCGTGGGCTGCTGCATGTATATTACAGTAACTGTAGTAATTAACCAAGTTTGCTGGGAACCCACAACTCAGCTGGGTTAGAGACTACTTTCCCCAAATTATTTGGACTGATTTTTTGCATTTCAACTGACATGCACTATATATATATTTTTTTTTTATCCTTCTCACGATCCTCTCTATTCTTTCAGACCCTGGATTTGCACACGTGTCCGAAGCCTGTTGTTTTCCTGTTGCACACATTCCTTTCTGCTAAAGTCACTCGTATGGGTCTGCTAGCCTAAGACTACAGTGCCATCCGCAGGACACCTCAATTCAACGCGCACACAGCTGTCCTCACTACAGTGCCTTCCGGTGGAAATCAGATGACGTAATACAGAGACAGAAATGGCCAAAGCCACTACAAGCTTGGGGCTCAATACTTTACCAGCGACACTGAGACGTAGACTGGTGGCGTTGCAGAATGTGGGCTAAAAGCAAGTGAGCGGATTTTTTTACAGATTTTTAAAGCCTCTTCCACACTACATGAACAAAATTATTGAAACTGCAGGAAACTACATAGATATGGTATATTGCAAGGAACCAAGAACTGACTGTTGAATAGGTTTTGGACCAGAAACAGCAGTTCAGCTTTTTTTTTATTTTATTTTTCTGAAAACAAGTGAAGTCTAAAAGATACCCGTGAGACTAGCAGACGGAGACAATCACACAGCTTATGCATCCTTCTACCGAGTCAGTGCTGGGCAGATGTCTTTTCTCGGTAGCAAGAATCTCTTCGTATGGTTTCTCGGCATCTCTGGGATTTATTTTAAAATGCAAAAAATTATTTTATGACCAAAGTGCCTTCAAGTCACTGCTGCCTTAGCAAGTTTAGTCACACAAAAATATATAGCGTATATTTTGTAGCCTACACACGCGATAGGAAGTGTGAATGTGTGTGTATTTACACTTACGCATATTGAACTCAAGAGTATTTAACGAAAATATATATTAAATATATATGCATATGTACATATATAGGTAATACAAATATGTATACGTCATAATAAATATAATGTTCTACTATGAGAGATGAAACTAAGGACTAATGATCACGTACACACGTGGACATATAAACTTACTGCTGTTTTAGGCAGTTACCGCAACTCGCCAGCCAAAACCGCGTCTCCTCCCGAACAGAACTGTCTCTCATTGAATTAACCAAAGATTAGTCTTTGCAGGAAAATAAAGGTGATGTATTCAAGCACAATGGGGTGAATGTTTTGCATTTGGGTGTTTTGCTATATTGGGAATAAAATAAACATTCCCTGGGATCTGGTACAAATTTCTCAATATTTACTTGGCACAAATTCGGCAAGCTATTCATTAATTCGACATACAATTTATATCAGAGATGGCTGTACGAGGTGATAGAGGTGGCAGTAGTGAGGACTGAAACAAGAACATCAGGGACTGCAAGTGGATCATTTAATCATCTCATGCTCTGTATAGCTGTGAGCCTGCCATCCCTGGTATAATCAATGGCGGTGTGTGGGACACTCGTTTATAAATGGCTAATAATAGGCTTTACGTGTGCGGAGCAATGCTGGGCCAACACGCTAAATGTGGAGCAGCCAAAAGGTAAATCCCATGATGACGGCTACATTAATGTTCCAGAATAGTTCTCAGGCACCAACATAACTTCATTTGTGGCCCAATTTCCATGCTGTATCATTCTACACATTCAAATTTCTAGTTTTGCTAGTACTGGTAGCAGTATAACATTCCTAACCTCCTCCAACTTTCTGATTGGAAGGCAGATGGTGTAGATCAGCCAATAAGAAGTCAGTATGACCTGAGCTGCAGACGTGACCCAACCCACGCAATTCACGGTCCTCTTATTATTTGTACAGCCTTTCAAACCTCAAAGGGAGACTATAATAAAAGTAGAGTGTCTGGTTGTGGGCGGAGTCATGTCAGCAGACCAGCTCACACTGATCTCTCATTGGTTGAGATGAGTACACTCAGAGTACATCTAATAAGGAAGTTGCTTTGTGAAAAGAGAATGGCGTGGCGATGGGGATGCGGTTATGTTGCAACTTATTTATTTTTGGCAAAATTAAAGATATTTGAATGTGAATAAAAACACAGTATAAATATGAGACCAAAACATACGAAGTGCACTTAAGTTGTTTTGGTGCCATAAAAAATATGAATGCCCCCTCCCCCACCACACCCCACTTTTCGACAATCCATTCCCATTTCCCATAAAGAAAGCATTGCTTTTTAAAACTTATATAAAGGAGGTATCCATTCCTCCAGCAGAATGCACATTTTATGTGTATTCAATCACCTTGAAAGTGTGGCTTCTCCCGTGTCTATGATCGTTAAACATTGCCACTTCAAATAGTCTACAAACTATGTTCTCATGACGCTCAGCCATCCCTTTGGCGCCAAACGTTGGCCGTTACTGCAATACATAGCTATGTAGTGAAGTGTAAAGCAATATATACATAAAACAATGATAATGGAACATGTAATTATTATTATTATTATTATTTATATAGCGCCATCAGATTCCGTAGCGCTGTACAATGTAATGAATCTTTTTCTACAGATCTCAGCAGGACAAACTGTACTTAACTATGAATCTCAAGTTTGGCCGTTAGAGCCCATTTCATCGGCCAGCTAATGGCAGTGTTTTTGTTTGGTAAAGTATTATGGAAATCTATGGAAACGTTCGATCACTTTAGCTAACCTCACACCTCTGCGGCAGCCAAAACACAATAAAACATGGAATCAGCAGTGATAATATGGGAGCAGTGACCAGCAATTGTTTTATTAGTACTAGAGGATATGTGTATCCCGAGGAGAGAGAACGTCCTATATCGGGAGTGTCACATTAATATATTGACATTCTGTGTCCCCTATTAATGGATATGGAAGAGCGATGTCAGTGATATTAAATAGAGACAATAAGGACCATCTTGTTAATGCGATGCAGTCTGAATTTACAGTGTGAACCCGGAATATGGCAGTACCCCTCAGACTGGAGGTTTTATTCTTATAAAAATGTTCATAAAGGAATTTATTCTAACCTCCTGATAGTTTCATTCTGGTGTCTGGACTTTGAGAGATCGGTGTAAATGGCCACATATCCCAGTATATACAACATGGAACTCATTAAAGTATGAGGACTGACGAGCAATTCTACTCTTTTCACCTTAATAGCCGCACTAGAAGGACTCTTCCCTTAGTAATTTTCCAATCACTGCCAATTCTCTTATCAATTCTCCAAAATACCAAATGTAATTAATAAACTCCAAATTTTTCGAAAATGAATGCCACATGGTTTTAAATCCTCGCTTGTTAAGTCTGCGATTGTGACACAGTTCTGGGCCATGTGTTTTTTCCATACAGAACATTTTGTTGTACGGATCAGAGCCCAGTAATATGAACACACATGCCAATAATAGCTAGGATGGCATACAGAGATTCAAATTCCAAGCCCTACGCTACTAGCCAGATTTTAAAGTTACTTGCCACCACTTTTTTTTGTTCATTGGTTGGGCCAGAACCTCTAGTTCCATCAGCCGCATAACTACCTACTAACAAGTCTCTTATTATACGTGCATACTCGTCAATAGCAAGTGGGTAGGGCAGGGCTGGTTACATGGTTACAACCACTGTTACACTATTTTCGTATATATTTCTAAAACCTTGTCATTAGATATACAACTGATACTATCGCCGGTCAGAGAATATGATGTGATATTGCGGTTACACATGGGCTACTATACCTTACACTTTGTTGGAAAATCGGATGTTATGGCCTTGTATGATATGATATGTCCCATTGTACAGCGCTACGGAATTTGCTGGCGCTATATAAATAATAATATAATAATAATACGTACCTTTTGTATTAAATTGTATAATTTGGCAATTTAAAATAAAGAATTTAAAATAAATAAATAAAGTTACTTGCCACTGCAAGCCTGCCTGGTTCATGACACACTCAGAAGGAGTGCATTTCTACTTCCCAGGGCTATATTTTTTACTTGCCAGTGGCTAGTGGTATAGGTAACATATGATCTGCTTAATGATTCTGTAAACATAACACAGCATGTCACAAACACAACAAACATTGAACACAAAAGAAAGTTTATTCATCGTCTGGAGAGGCAGGTATAGAGGGCACGAGCCAGGGAGTTTGCTAAATAGACAGAATAGTCACCAAACCCACCCGAGCTCAATGTAAAGAAAACAAAAGTTATTGGCGCTCTCTATAGTGCAATGAATTAGTGAGGGCTGCTGTACACAATACAAGGATTCCCAAGACCTCGTGTAGTAATTAGACAGAAAAAGATATGGCGTATACTGGACCCAAAATTATACGTGAAGTTCTATGTACGTATAATTTTGGCCGCAGTATACGCCATATCTTTTTCTAACAGCTCAATGTAAGGTCGGCGGTGTAAACGCTGCCTTTCAGAGGACACTGATCCTTAGCACAACCTCCAGGGCCTTCTAGTGACTGTATTCCCGGGTTCGGTCCAGCAATCTTTGTATGACCCACGTTCAGCAGGGAGACACGGACGCTCACCACAGATATGCATTGATTCAGTGCGTCTCTAAGAGGAGACACTGATTGGAGCAGTGCGGCAGTTTGCCTCCAATGCTTCCCTATAGGAGAAGCATTAGATTGGCTGAGATCATCAAGATCCAGCACTCTCACTCATCCACCTAAACAGGCAGCAGGGCACTGTAGCATTAGGAATGTATATTTGTATATTCCCTACACTACAGTGTTCCTTTAGGTCTTAGTGTGAAATGAATGGCTTCCAACGTTGAAAGAAACTTGTTGGAGAAGGTGTCTGTATAATGTATCGGGCTAATTCATTCTAAATGTAACCGTAACTGTTTTCCCTTGAATTATTATTATTATTGCCATTTACATAGCGCCAACAGATTCCGTAGCGCTTTACAATATTATAAGAGGGAGGGATATAACTATAAATAGGACAATTACAAGAAAACTTACAGGAACGATAGGTTGAAGAGGACCCTGCTCAAACGGCTTTACAGTCTATAGGATATTTGGAAGTACACAATGGTGTTTGTTTGTTTTTTACTCATGGTGCCCCACTGGACTGATCAGACACACCATACACCTTACAAAATGTCCAATAGGCAAAGAGGGACAAAGAGGTGTTCTAAACACATTTATTGTAGTTTAAAGACACATTACTGGGAGTATTATTGCTGTGGAGCTCGGTTATACACTCAGACACATTACTGGGAGTATTATTACTGTGGGGCTCTGTGATACACTCAGACACATTACTGGGAGTATTATTACTGTGGAGCTCTGTTATACACTCAGACACATTACTGGGAGTATTATTACTGTGGGGCTCTGTTATACACTCAGACACATTACTGGGAGTATTATTACTGTGGAGCTCGGTTATACACTCAGACACATTACTGGGAGTATTATTGCTGTGGAGCTCGGTTATACACTCAGACACATTACTGGGAGTATTATTACTGTGGAGCTCTGTTATACACTCAGACACATTACTGGGAGTATTATTACTGTGGGGCTCTGTTATACACTCAGACACATTACTGGGAGTATTATTGCTGTGGAGCTCTGTTATACACTCAGACACATTACTGGGAGTTATATTGCTGTGGAGCTCTTTTATATCCTCAGACATATTACTGGGAGTATAATTGCTGTGGAGCTCTGTTATACACTCAGACACATTACTAGGAGTATTATTGCTGTGGAGCTCTGTTATACACTCAGACACATTACTGGGAGTATTATTGCTGTGGAGCTCTGTTATACACTCAGACACATTACTGGGAGTATTATTACTGTGGATCTCTGTTATACACTCAGACACATTACTGGGAGTATTATTGCTGTGGAGCTCTGTTATACACTCAGACACATTGCTGGGAGTATTATTGCTGTGGAGCTCTGTTATACACTCAGACACATTACTGGGAGTATTATTGCTGTGGAGCTCTGTTATACACTTAGACACATTACTGGGAGTATTATTACTGTGGAGCTCTGTTATACACTCAGACACATTACTGGGAGTATTATTGCTGTGGAGCTCTGTTATACACTCAGACACATTAGGGTCTTGAGGGGTACAGTAAGGTATTGAGGGGTACAGTATGGAATTGAGGGGTACAGTAAGGTATTGAGGGGTACAGTATGTTATTGAGGGGTACAGTAAGGTATTGAGGGGTACAGTAAGGCATTGAGGGGTACAGTATGTTATTGAGGGGTACAGTAAGGCATTGAGGGGTACAGTATGTTATTGAGGGGTACAATATGTTATTGAGGGGTACAGTAAGGTATTGAGGGGTACAGTATGTTATTGAGGGGTACAGTAAGGTATTGATGGGTACAGTATGTTATTGAGGGGTACAGTAAGGTATTGAGGGGTACAGTAAGGCATTGAGGGGTACAGTAAGGTATTGAGGGGTACAGTATGTTATTGAGGGGTACAGTAAGGTATTGATGGGTACAGTATGTTATTGAGGGGTACAGTAAGGTATTGAGGGGTACAGTAAGGCATTGAGGGGTACAGTAAGGTATTGAGGGGTACAGTATGTTATTGAGGGGTACAGTAAGGCATTGAGGGGTACAGTATGGTATTGAGGGGTACAGTAAGGTATTGAGGGGTACAATTTGTTATGGGGGGTACAGTATGTTATTGAGGGGTACAGTAAGGTATTGAGGGGTACAGTAAGGCATTGAGGGGTACAGTATGTTATTGAGGGGTACAGTAAGGCATTGAGGGGTACAGTATGGTATCGAGGGGTACAGTAAGGTATTGAGGGGTACAGTATGTTATTGAGGGGTACAGTAAGGCATTGAGGGGTACAGTATGGTATTGAGGGGTACAGTAAGGTATTGAGGGGTACAATTTGTTATGGGGGTACAGTATGTTATTGAGGGGTACAGTAAGGCATTGAGGGGTACAGTAAGGCATTGAGGGGTACAGTATGTTATTGAGGGGTACAGTAAGGCATTGAGGGTACTGTATGTTACTGAGGGGTACACATGTTATTGAGGGGTACAGTAAGGTATTGAGGGGTACAGTATGTTATTGAGGGGTGCACAGTAAGGCATTGAGGGGTACAGTATGTTATTGAGGGGCAGTAAGGCATTGAGGGGGTACAGTATGTTATTGAGGGGTACAGTAAGGCATTGAGGGGTACAGTGTTGCATTGAGGGGTACAGTAAGGCACTGAGGGGTACAGTATGTTACTGAGGGGTACAGTAAGGCATTGAGGGTACAGCATGTTATTGAGGGGTACAGTAAAAGTATTGAGGGGTACAGTAAGGTACTTGAGGGGTACAGTATGTTATTGAGGGGTACAAGGCATTGAGGGGTACAGTAAGGCATTGAGGGGTACAGTATGTTATTGAGGGGTACAGTAAAGCATTGAGGGGTACAGTATGATATTGAGGGGTACAGTAAGGCATTGAGGGGTACAGTATGATATTGAGGGGTACAGTATGGTATTGAGGGGTACAGTAAGGTATTGAGGGGTACAGTAAGGCATTGAGGGGTACAGTATGTTATTGAGGGGTACAGTAAGGCATTGAGGGGTACAGTATGGTATTGAGGGGTACAGTAAGGTATTGAGGGGTACAGTAAGGCATTGAGGGGTACAGTATGGTATTGAGGGGTACAATTTGTTATGGGGGGTACAGTATGTTATTGAGGGGTACAGTAAGGTATTGTATGTTATTGAGGGGTACAGTAAGGCATTGAGGGGTACAGTATGATATTGAGGGGTACAGTAAGGTATTGAGGGGTACAGTATGTTATGGGGGGAGTGATTGGCTGATTGTTGTGGGCGGGGCCATGAGACCAATACGTTGCCCCACCCCTCACGTGACACACACTGCCTGGTATCACGTGACTGTCAGCAGCCGCTTCCTGGTTTTGTCTTTCTGCGTGTTTCCGGTTCCGGTAAAGAGTCAGCCCCCCCTCCCCACCCCCCAAACCGCAGGAACCGACTGGGATCCGGTACCGGGACATGAGATGACAACATCAACCCTGCAGGTACCGAACCGGAACCGAGACCGAGAGAGAGAGAGAGAGAGAGAGAGAGAGAGAGACTGCCAGAGAGAGAGAGAGAGAGAGAGACTGCCAGAGAGAGAGAGAGACTGCCAGAGAGAGACTGCCAGAGAGAGAGAGAGACTGCCAGAGAGAGAGAGAGACTGCCAGAGAGAGAGACAGACTGCCGGAGAGAGAGACAGACTGCCGGAGAGAGAGAGAGACTGCCGGAGAGAGAGAGAGACTGCCGGAGAGAGAGAGAGACTGCCGGAGAGAGAGACCGCCAGAGAGAGAGAGACCGCCAGAGAGAGACCGCCAGAGAGAGAGACCGCTAGAGAGAGAGAGAGACTGCCAGAGAGAGACCGCCAGAGAGACTGCCAGGAGAGAGAGAGACTGCCAGAGAGAGACCGCCGAGAGAGAGAGAGACTGCCGAGAGAGACCGCCAGAGAGAGAGAGAGACTGACTGACTGAGAGAGACTGAGAGAAAGAGAGAGACTGTCAGAGAGAGAGAGAGAGAGACTGACCGAGAGAGAGACCGAGAGAGAGACTGCCAGAGAGAGAGAGACTGCCAGAGAGAGAGAGACTGCCAGAGAGAGAGAGAGACTGCCAGAGAGAGAGAGAGACTGCCAGAGAGAGAGAGAGACTGCCAGAGAGAGAGAGACTGCCAGAGAGAGAGAGAGAGAAACTGATATATATAGACTGCCAGAGAGAGAGAGAGAAACTGATATATATAGACTGCCAGAGAGATATACAGATGGATATATAGACTGCCAGAGACTGATCTGTAGACTGACCTAGAGCTATATGGACAGGGACATATAGCTGTCAGTCAAATATATAGACAGACAGCACATAGAGCTATCAGTGAAACATAAATAGACAGGGGGTAGGGCTAAAGGTGTTGGGTGTGTATATATACTTGGAGAACTGAGGAGGGCAGGGCTTAAGCTACAGGTATAGGGAGAACGATTTAGCCAGGTAAGCAGGGATAGGGAGAACGATTTAGCCAGGTAAGCAGGGATAGGGAGAACGATTTAGCCAGGTAAGCAGGGATAGGGAGAACGATTTAGCCAGGTAAGCAGGGATAGGGAGAACGATTTAGCCAGGTAAGCAGGGATAGGGAGAACTATCTAGCCAGGTAAGCAGGGATAGGGAGAACTATCATAGCCAGGTAAGCAGGGATAGGGAGAACTATCTAGCCAGGTAAGCAGGGATAGGGAGAACTATCATAGTCAGGTAAGCAGGGATAGGGAGAACTATCATAGCCAGGTAAGCAGGGATAGGGAGAACTATCATAGTCAGGTAAGCAGGGATAGGGAGAACTATCATAGCCAGGTAAGCAGGGATAGGGAGAACTATCATAGCCAGGTAAGCAGGGATAGGGAGAACTATCATAGCCAGGTAAGCAGGGATAGGGAGAACTATCATAGTCAGGTAAGCAGGGATAGGGAGAACTATCATAGCCAGGTAAGCAGGGATAGGGAGAACTATCATAGCCAGGTAAGCAGGGATAGGGAGAACTATCATAGTCAGGTAAGCAGGGATAGGGAGAACGATCTAGCCATATTATTATTATTATTATTATTGTTAAAACATTGTTCTGGTATGTCTATGAGAACAGGCAATCTACTTGAACCAAATATGGCTATAAGTGTTTAAGAAGAGTTTTATGACCCAGAGAAATACCTCTAGAGACAGATTTGATGTATAAGAGCAAGGATTACTGGATAGGCCATAGACACCATATACAAGTCAGAGCAAAACACTGAGAGGCTGATCATTGTGCAGAGGATAATTCCCAATGGATTCGACAGAGGTGAGTGATGTCTGTGGTGCAGTGGTGATGGTGTAGCAGTAATGTAGAGTTAAATATATCGATATATCTGAAGTGGAGGATTAAGGGTTAATTAATGTGGATCTAGGTGAGTGATACCTCTGAGTACTATGTTGTGGTATGTAGCTGTTATATAAATAACCAGAAGTATAGAAGGAAGTAATTATCCGTGGAGAGGATAATGGACGTGTCCCGTGACCAGGTGAGGTAATACCTGTGGATGCTGAGTAATGTTTGTCTGTGACAATGATCACAACAGTGAATTGCGAGGGCTGTCACAAGGGATGTATTTAATCTTTATTGCTGGAGAGATCGGAGTTGCTAACTATCCAGAGCAGGAACACACTTTCAGAACATTTTATAAGTTTTCCAGTATATCAATTTTTGCCTAAACTTTAAAAGTTCTATTTGAATACCTGTCGTAGAGATATATAGACTGCGCCCCCCAATTATAATAATTGTATCCCAGAATCTCTTATCATTACACTCACAGTTTGATTTCACCTGGCATTTTCTAGTCTTGTGTAACTGGTTTAATCAATTACAATCTTTCGGTGAGAATTCCATCTCCACTTGTTCATTTAAATCAGAGGTTGGATTTAGGGGAAAACATCTATTAACACATAACCTCAGCCAGGATAAGTAAATCGCCAGACTGTGCTTCATGTAGATCATTAGTGCGCCTGTTACACTGTAATGTACAAATTGTTACCATACTCCTGACACAGAGACCTTTGTACCAAATACAATGTGTTATATCCTGAAGGTGGCTGGCTCTCATTGTTCAGCTGGGCTGCTGCTCTCAGGATTGGTTTCTGGAAGGAGTAAATGGCATGCCGTTATAGCATTAATCAGTGAGTTCACTGAGTTGGATTCATAATCCTTATATTTCTTTTTAAACCATTGATCTAGAACTGTATGAATGCAGCTATTTCTGGCTATTAAGATAGTCTGCGTGGCTCCCAGGATTGTGTGCGCATATTACCAGCCAAATGTTTAATTAAACCTTCTTCAAAGCAATAATTTAATGATATGTCAGACTGCAAGAACACTCAGTCATTTATTTATTTGAACATCATCTTCTAAAAGCTAAATAATCCATTGCAAAATAAAATCAGAATTTCTTAGTTAATTAGATTCCCAAGACAAAGGAGTATCAGTCTGAATCCTCTGTGAACAACAGTAAACGTTTTTTTTTCTCTTAGGGTTATTTTATTACATTAAGAATTGACAGTGAATTTCACATTTAAAGGGACACTATAGTCCAGGGATAGGCAACCTTCAGCACTCCAGATGTTGTGAACTACAGACCCCATAATGCTCTTACACCCATCATGCTGGCAAAGCATCATGGGAGTTGTAGTCCAAAATATCTGGAGTGCCGAAGGTTGCCTATGCCTGCTATAGTCCCTAAAACAGCACTGGCATAGTGAAGCAGTTCTTGTTTATAGATCAGTCTGACTGCTCAATTCTCCTTTGTTTCTGTCTGTGCAGCTTCAGCCACACTTACCCTGACTCGTGACTCACACAGTCTGCGTGAAAAAAATGGTTCCATTTTCAGTCTGATCTTAACACTTTTACCTGTTTAGGTCCCAAGTCCCCCTCAGAATGGAGATAAAATGTATTTCACTTACCTTTTCTCCGTCACCGCACTGGTCTCGCCACAGATGGCTCCGTCTCCATGATCATCAATCTTGACAATCTCTAGAAAAGCATTGGGAGGCTATTACGCGTGTTGCTCTGAGTGAATAAGTGCATCTCAATGGGGAGAGTTCAGTACCTTAATGCAGAGCCTGTCTGAGTGACTATCGCTAGAGATGTTATTAGACGGCAATGTAAACATACTCTGAAAATGCAGCGTATTCATTGCTCAGCCTGCACGAACATACTATAAACACCGGAACCGCTATATTAAGCTGTGGTGGCTCTGGTGATTATAGCGTCCATTTAACTTTCTTTAGAAGTTTTTTCTTCTCCGTAACTTGAGCTTTAATTAATTACAGACACAAAGCTGCTGCAAGCTATTAACAGAGCAGGAGATAAGAAATTCGACATTGAACAAACTGTGCAGAGGAAGTTTAAACTTTAGATCACTCTCTACAGCAGGGCTGCCCAACAGGTCAATCCCCAGATGTTGTAGAACTACAACTCCCATGATGCTTTGCATGCCTTTAGAATGACAAAGAATCATGGGAGTTGTAGTTCTACAACATCTGGGGATGTACCTGTTGAGCAACCCTGCTCAACAGGAAGTGTTTAGAAAGGCTGTGTAGGTCACATGCAGGGAGGTGTGACTAGGGCTGCATTAACAAAGTTATTTCATTCCTAAATGGCAGAGGATTGAGCAGTGATGCTGCAGGGGCATGTTCTATACACCAAAACTGCTTCATTAAGCTAAAGTTTGGTGGTTATAGTTTCCCAGTAAGGCCAAAATGGCCATTCTAAAAACAGAATTGATTTGGAGAATGTCTTAAATTTAACTGTTTTGGGCTAAACTTTAAATTCACTTTGAATCAGTTTATAAAGTTACTGAAATTTCCTATCCAGGCCACACCTCATAGAACAAGTGACCTACTCTGCCCACATGAAACTGTGATATATGTGAAAGCAAATAAAAAGAAATGACGATTATTACGCCATATCTCCCAAACTGTGTGAGTGTTTGTACCTGATGTGGCCTAAGCCATAAGTCTGCAGACCCCTCGTTTGCTGAGAACTGCAAAGGGTCAGACAATTGATGGTGGGCAATCTGAGCCCTGAGTCTGCAAAACAAGCAATTCTATAAATCCCTGAGAGTAGAATAGGATGAAAACATTTTTTGGGGTAAAGGATGCAACAAGTGGGCTTTTGAGGAGCATTCATCATTTTTAGTGAGCTGTTAACCTAAAATATTAACTATATTGATCTAACAACCAAATGTTTCTAAGGCTCTCTTTTGCATGCTCGTTCCCACTATATAAGGCAACGTCACGGTCTAGGCTTGCTTTGTTGGTAAACTCTCCCATGCCTAACACAGACTTGCTCTCCGTGGCTATCATGGCAAATTCAGAGACTGCATTGTGGCTTGTTATTGAGTCCTTTTCCAGGATAATCACCCAAAACACAGCCTAAAGGTACACTCTAAGCACCTAAATAACTTTAGCTTAATATAGCATTTTTGGTGTGCAGAACATGCCCCTGCAGTCTCTCTGCTCAATTTTTAGCAGTTAAATCACATGCTTATGTAGCCCTAGCCACACCTCGCTGCATGTGACCTTCTTAGTCTCCCTACACATTTCCTGTAGAGAGAAATCTAATGTTTAAACTTCCTTTATTGCACAGTCTGTTTCATTTAGAATTTCTTATCTCTTGCTCTGCAGGGGCCTCCTGTGTGTGATTAAAGTTCAATTCATAGAGCAGGAGATAAAAACCTCTAAAGTCAACACTGTGCTGTAAGATCTGATTGAATATGAAACCATTTTTTACATGGAGGTTGTATGGGTTACAGCCAGAGACAGTGTGGCTAGGGCTCCATACATAGAAACAAAAGTGTATATCTATGTCCTCACCATTCTGCCCTTTACCCTGTAACGTGCCATGATATAACGTGGATTGAATATTTTTACAGAAAGCCATTGATCTGGTGACTAAAGCCACAGAAGAGGACAAGAATAAGAACTATGAAGAGGCGCTGCGATTGTACCAGCATGCAGTGGAGTACTTTCTTCACGCCATTAAATGTGAGTGCGTTGGGAGCCGCAGGTTTGAGGGATGTCCAGCATTATGCTTTACTTGCCTGTAGCTACCTCTCTCACCAGGATGTTAGTGCATACATAGCTCGGCCCAGTTACAAATACAGAGAGGCTGTTATCTACTGTAATTACCCAATCTCTTGTATTGTGCTGGCAGATGAGGCTCACAGTGACAAGGCGAAAGAGAGCATTCGAGCCAAGTGCATGCAGTATCTGGACAGGGCGGAAAAACTGAAGGACTATCTGAAGACAAAGGACAAGCAAAGCAGGAAACCGGTGAAGGAATCACAGAATGAGAAAGGGTGAGATGTCACTGGAATGTACATGGATCGTCTCTTCCATTTTGAAGCTCTATATTGAGAGATTGATGTTCTTCTCACAGCAGTGCTTCCTGTGTGTTGGCATAGGTATTGGGACAAAGACCCGAGGGTTTCATCTTGGTTATTTTTGCATTCACAGAAGTGACAGTGACAGCGAGGGGGACAATCCGGAGACAAAGAAGCTGCAGGAACAGTTGATGGGTACGTGTGACAGAATAGGAGAAGCCAAAGTGAGGGCAAAAGTAGTGGTGGTTGGTTTACTGAGAAAAGGTGGAGAAGACAAAATGTTGTGATGCAAAATGTGATAAATGCCAAAGTGCAGAACTTATAACGTGATCTTGTATTCATCTCACTATCAATGTTCTATCATTACCCCAGGTGCCATTGTTATGGAAAAGCCAAACGTTCGATGGAACGATGTGGCCGGTTTAGAAGGAGCAAAGGAAGCGCTAAAAGAAGCCGTGATCTTACCCATCAAATTCCCCCATCTCTTCACAGGTCAGGATCAGTAGGGGATCCAGGAACATTCCAGCTAAACTACAGATATATGTATATATATATTTTATAAATCTGTGTATTTTTCACCATTGATAACTATGGATAAAAAGTTCCAAAATACTTAACCTCTAGCTTTTAGTGAAATATAACAACGTTTTTGCAGCCACTTACTGTGGGTTTATCAAGAGGTCTGAAATGTGAATAAATTGCCTTAAACATAACTTCTTTTGACGTTCGGTGTTTCTTCCATTAACTAGCTCCCATTTTTTCCTCTCATTATGCATTAACCTTGTGTTATGTCTGTTCACTTGAAAAGGTAAACGAACCCCATGGCGGGGTATCCTGCTCTTTGGACCTCCTGGAACAGGGAAATCCTACTTGGCCAAAGCTGTAGCAACAGAAGCCAATAACTCGACCTTCTTCTCTGTGTCCTCTTCTGATCTGATGTCTAAATGGTTGGGAGAGAGTGAGAAGTGAGTTTTAGTGGGTCTAATGTATAAAGGAAAGTTAAAGGGGTATTATTTAGTACATGATTATTTCAAATCTCGTCTTTTTACTACTTTCCAGGCTAGTGAAGAACCTTTTCGAGTTGGCAAGACAACACAAACCGTCCATTATATTCATTGATGAGGTTGACTCGCTGTGTGGCTCTCGAAATGAGAATGAGAGTGAAGCTGCCCGCAGGATAAAAACAGAGTTCTTGGTGCAAATGCAGGGTAACTCCTTTATACATTTACTCACCCTACCCCTTCCCCATAACTACAAAGATACTAAAAGTTTTAAAGGTAAAAAGTAGGATCGAACCATTGTGTACGTTGCATAGTATTCCGATTGAGCAGATTGTCTTGGGAAGGACCATTTCTGTCTTAAATAAACATTATTTGTATCTTAAGTACTTGCCCCTGCAAGCCATAGTAGCTTATGAGTCCAAATGTTAAGCCTGCTATATTACACAGATACCCTTTAGTCAGCTCTCGTTGGCTAAATCATCTTCACAGAAGCATTATAGCTGTGATGAGTTGTAATTTTACAAAGCTTAGAGATTTCATTTAACAGACTTATTTTCATTTGCACATAACCTGTAATCCTGGCTTGTTAGCATAGCCTTACATTGTGATTGCTTTTTCTGTGAGATAATTGTCTTCCATGATAAAACAGACACAATGTAAGCAACCATCCAACAGTTCATATTCGTGAAGGGAAGAAGCACTAACACCAGACTCCAGCAGCTCGTTATACTTCGTACATTTAATGAAGTCTAACACGTTTTCTTATTTGACACCAAAACACTTGTTTTTCAAATGAAATGATTACTTTTTTTCACTTCACTATTAATATTACTCCCTTCTTATCATGTAAGCAATTTAACTAAAAGTGTTTTCCCTATAAGAAGATTTTCCCTAGAAGATTGTAAAAATCCTTTAGTTTGGGACTAAAGACTACTACTCATTCCAATGTAGTTAAACAAATAAAGAGCGATTCTTCAGTTAGACCCGCATTTTGTTTATAGAAATTCACCGCGCTGAAGATATTTCCATCTTTGTCCTTTGACACAATTCACCTAGTCTTATACGGTGATCAGCCACAACATTAAAACCGCTGACAGGTGAAGTGAATATTATTGATTTATATTATTACAATGGCACCTGTTAATGGGTGGGATATATTAAGCAGCAAGTGAATAGTCCGATCTTGAGTCATGTGTTGGAAACAGAAAAAATGGGCAAGTAAAAAGATCTGACTTTGACAATGGCCAAATAGTGATGGCTAGAGGGCTGGGTCAGAACAGCTAAAAAAAACGGCAAGTCTTGTGGGATGTTCCTGGTATGCATTGGTTAGTACCTACCAAAGTGGAGCAAGAAAGTGCAACTAGTGAACTGGCATCAGGGTTATGGGAGCCCAAGGCTCATTGATGCACATGGGGAACGAAGGCTAGCCTGTCTAATCCGTTCACACAGAAGAGCTACTTCTGGCCATGATCGAAAGGTATCAATACACAGTGCATCACAGTTTGCTGCATATGGGGCCCAGTGTTAATCCGATTGAACATCGGTGTGATGTGCTGGAATAACACATCCGATCCATGGAAGCCCCACAACACAACTTGCAGGACTTAAAGGATCTGCAGCTACTGTCTTGGTGCCAGATACCACAAGACACGTTCAGAGGTATTGTGGAGTCCATCAGAGCTGTTTTGGCAGCATGAGGGGGACCCATATGATATTAGACAGGTGGTTTTAATGGTTTGGCTGATCAGTATAGATATTGCTTTGAGGGGGGTTTACAGAGCTTTAAGTTAGCATATACATACACACATATTTTAAATCATTTTTTCCCTCCTGGTTTAAATCCGTGACACATCCATGCAATGTTTCCTGGTGTGTAGGTGTTGGGAATAATAATGATGGAATTTTGGTCCTCGGAGCCACTAACATACCCTGGGTTCTGGATTCCGCTATTCGAAGAAGGTGAGCACAGTTGATCACAATTTACAATCATTTCCTCTATAGTCCTTCATGTCCACCATGATATTTTGCTAGTGTTTGAATAGATACTGCAGAATTCTCTGTTTATTTAGTAGATGATTCACAAGCCTCACCTTTACATTCTACAGTTCTATTTATTTTTTTAAGCAATTTTTATTTTCATAAGGGTGATAACAGAGCACTTTACATTTAGGTCGCAATGACATCTTTTGAGCACACAGTTTCACACAGAGATTCAGGCTTACGTTGTACGGGTTTGTATTATGCATCTTACTCAGTCAGCAATTATGTTCCCAAACAGAATAGATCTTGTGAGCTGCAGTTTACCTACGGGAGCAGGTAGGGAGTGATGAAGTTTTATCGCAATTTAAGGTCCGGAGACTCAGTCAATTCATCCTCCTGTCTGGGTTGTGCTTAGTTTCCGGGGTGTAAGTAGTTTGTTGTATTACTGTAGAATATGAGCATTTATTGGGGTTCAGGGTGATATGCATAAGTTGGGTAAGGTTGGGAGGAGGGTAGAAGCGAAAGAAAAGAGAAGAGGGAAAGAGAAGAAACAGAGGAAAAGGAAAAAAAAAAGGGGGGGGTGGGGGAAAGAAAGGAGGAGGGTAAAAAGAGTATGGGGTCCCTCCAGCTCCCAGGGTCTACAGTTCTGTTTGATTGTTTTTAGGTTTGAGAAGCGAATATATATCCCACTACCTGAGGAAGCTGCCCGAGCACAAATGTTCCGACTCCACCTGGGAAATACTCCACACAGTTTGAGTGAAGTAGATGTGCGTGAGCTTGCCAGGAAGACAGACGGTTATTCTGGCGCAGATATCAGTATCATTGTGAGAGATGCCCTAATGCAGCCTGTTCGTAAAGTGCAATCCGCCACACACTTCAAGAAGGTAATTTGCCAACATTTGAGAGCAGTAATCTCTGACAGAGCATGTGTTAAGAGTTCTCTTTTACATTGTAGATTCGGGGTCCATCACGCACTACTCCCGGGGTCACTGTAGATGACCTTTTAACACCCTGCTCTCCTGGAGATCCTGGGGCTATAGAGATGACATGGATGGAAGTGCCCAGTGACAAACTACTGGAGCCAGTTGTCTGCATGGTGAATATAGACTATTACCCTGAGCAATCAGATTTCCTTCTTTTTTTTTTTTAACCCAAGTCCCCTCCCCTTTACCTGACGCTTGTTTTTATTCCCTTGTAGTCTGACATGCTTCGTTCATTGGCCACCACACGCCCGACCGTGAATTCCGACGATCTGCTAAAAGTGAAGAAATTTACAGAGGACTTTGGACAAGAAGGATGAGGAGCAGTGTGCAACATGAATTGGGGGCATGCCTTTTTGGACACCGTGTTTGCTTGCTTAATTCTAAAAGTGCCCCCCGCTGGCAACAAAGCAGGAATCTGGTGGCGCTGGAGAACCTACATCCAGGACTTTTACCCTAGCTCAGCGGCGCCTGGGCACATCCAATCACCTTTAATATGCTTCTGTCTCTGAGGTTTACGTACATTTTGCCATCAGTCACCAACCCTGACTTGGCTGCCTACCCTCCCCTTTCAAAATGACAGAATCTCCCTCGCCCTAAGCTACAAGGAGAACCGAATCATTTTAATTGACATTCTGTAACATGACCATTACTCAGCCGTGGCTCTTCTGTAATCCCACTGGGAGTATGTAAGGTGCGTTCGGTTGCCTGCACGCCCACCAGTCCTAATTTACCCCACGCCGGTACCTGCTATATGCATTACTGGGGAGTGTTCAGTTGTGTAAATATATTCTATTTCTTTGAATTGATGTTCTGTCTGCTGATTATTTATAAGTAACATAATGTGCTGAGAGATATGTGACATCATTACCGTTCCCAATAGGGGTTCACTAAACTATGGGTATGGTGAGCTGACAGCTGGAATCTTGGAACAGCATTAAAAAAACAAAAACAAACTGCATAAAATGTTTGTCCTAAAAAAAAATCACTGTTTTTTAGATGCTGCCTGTTTAGTGTATTTACTGGAGGCCAGGAATGGTGTAAATGTTTTTTTAAAATGCCATTTATAAGATGCATTTTATCTTTATTTTATTCTACTTCTGTTGTGGTGATACCTAATCTAGAGTTCTGCGTTCCTACTGAGAGGTTGTATTCACCGACCTGGCAAAAATTGCTGATTAGCAACTGATTTATTAAAGAGAATTTGATGCAATAAATTAGCATTAAGTCCAAGGCAGGCTGGGCGTTAAATGTTTGGCCTGGAATATGTAAGGGATAGTGGGATTTGGTCAGTCCTTCATTTTGTACATTGTCGTTAACAAAAACACTGTGATGTGTTTCAATTCTCCAAATCTGCTGTTTGAGACAGGATTTCATAGGAATATGATGTAAGGAATCTCATCGAGGGAACAGAAGCAACGCAGCACATTATTTCTGTGCGCATCAGCAGCCTGCCTGAAAGAGGAGAAACCATTTGGGAACGATATTATTTTAGAAGTGTCTGTAAAGGTGACTCCCAGCCTCTATGGAGTTACATCTTTAGGTTGCCTACAGAAATGAACACTGCTGTGAAGCCTACCTCCTTCTTCCCAAACATAAACCGTTACCCTGCCTTCATGGTAAAAACAATATACTCCATTCACTTACTTTCTGTGAATTTCACAATTTAAGAAAAATTAGAATACTTCTCAAAATCCACACTGTTTTTAGTTTGGCAGGGGCTGTGTGCATTGCTCTGCTAACTACCGTGTTTTCCCGAAACTAAGACCTCACTAGGGCTTATTTTTGGGGAAAACCGCTATCAAGCATGTGGTAGAAAGCAGGTCTACGTTCGGTGGAATTTCCTTGAACATATACCAGTTCACTAGCGCATGGAATCCTGCGAATCGATGTTCGGGGAAAACCCCCCAAACATAGATTAGCAAAATTGCAACTATGGCTATTTTTGGGGAAAAACGGTATGATTTACATTGTGTGGGTTTCTGTCACCCGTGGCATGATCTCTGAATTTGTAACCCAGGGATTATTTGCTGGCAATTTCCTACCACGATTTATAATTTACATTTTGATGTCTGCCTAAAGGAAAACTTGAATGAACATCTCTTGTGGATGACCGCGCTACTTCAAATCATTGTGACACTAAATATTGGTGTGAAAAGTGTGCTAATTATTAAAATCCATGAAAAAGACACCAGGGGCCAAACTGCTGCCATTTCTAAAGGTTTAATGTGAAGGACAATTTTTTTTTTTAAATAATGCACATTTAATTTTTAATTAAGAGTTTCAGCTACCATGGAGAGTAGTTTCTATTGTTTTCCACAAGAGGGCAGTCTATGCTACCACATCCTGAGGCTTTAACCCTTCGTGTTTCAAAGGATGCGTTAAACATGGCAGGATTTCAGTCCCCTGTCACTGGCCATGTCAGTCATTCACCTCTGTCCAGTTAATGTTGGTAAAGGTCCTGGGATCCATCTTATCGATGTACAAAACGCCATCCAAGTGATCCATTTCGTGCTGTACAATCCTAGCTGCCCAACCTTTTGCTAGCCACGTAACGCGCTTCCCGTCTGGAGTCAAACCTGCAAAGGGAAATATACGGTAACAGACTAAACAGGTCCTACAGGTAATGGCATTAGTTACACTATGGAGGGCGAATGGGGCACCCCGCTGAGACATTTGTTCCCGTGAAACACTGCCGCAAGGAGTTAAACATTAAAGAAAACAGACTAGAGTATATCGTTATTCAACAAGCAGTGAGATGTGCTGCAGCCGGCTCACATTTAATACCCTGTTCAACTGTTTTAGCACATATTGTAGCCAAATACAAATATTCCACCGTGGCTATCTTGATCTAATTATCTTTTTTGTCAACTCACTGTTTAGTGAATAAACCCCCAAACATGTTTAGAACGAAGCATTAAACAGCACTAGTAGACTCCTCACACAGACCTACTGGGTGACTCCTGTGCCCCTCGGAGAATGCCACTAACTTCTATTCCCATCAGCCATAATCCTCTAGCGACATTTCGACAAGCCTTGACAAAGACACTGAGGTATCAATACATAGTTGGGTCCACTTGAATGTTTGCACAAAAATAAAAGTCCTTTATTGAAAGAACAAAGCACAGAGTACACTATTTCACTGGCTACATTTGAATTTAGGCAGATCCAGATTCAGATCACCTTACCTGTGTCTGTCAGTATAAAAGTCTTATACTCCCCTTTAGGTCTTAGCTTAGTGGTTGAAGATCTTATGTATAAATATATAGATGGAGAATTCGGAGGATTTATTGCATACTGGGAGCACTCACCAGATATCTCCACAGCATAGTAGCGTGGCACTACCGCAGAGAATCCATGGATGCTTCTGCAGCCTTCTGGAAAACTCAACGTTCGATTGTCCAACACACGCATCTCCGGATTGATAAAGACCTTCAGCGGGAATGGGGTCATCTCACGGGCAGCAAGAACATCAGGAGGCACTGCCTGGCTCATCTTCTCTGGGAGTTCCAACATTAAAATACGGAGAGGAACTCCGAGCTGAGGTGCGCTTAGCCCCACACATCCTCCTGAACGCAAGACACGCACCATGCGATTTATCACTTTCACTGTGTCCGGGTGTGAAATCTGGTCAGGAGGAACAGGCGCAGCGTGGCAACGCAGCACTGGATCACCTGTCTGAGTCACGCGTGGGTAAGGCGGTGTTGGGACTCCCAAAACTGACCTCCTCAGATATCTCCAATAACTGCGCCTTCTCCAGCCTGACCATGACGAGGCCAAACGACAGATATATTGCGGACTATTTGGGACAACCTTGGAGTAATGGGACAATAAGTGGCTCAGAACCTGCCAACCTCTCTGAACTAACATATTTGGATATCTGTTAAAAAGAAAATAACTATTAGACCATACTTTCTACCTTGGCGAACGTAACATACACCCACTGTCACCCACTGTCTTTACAAGAAGAATGTAGGGTTTGTATCACTGTTTCACAGTATATAAGTGAATCACAGAGCTCCACAGCAATAAGAAACAAAATAATGGAAAGATATCAGAGCTCCAGTGCAATATTGTGACATTAATTGTATTAAAATGATTCCCAGCTCACCCCAAACACTATAACTACTACAGATTATAGTATTCAGGTTATAGCTTTAGGACCCTCTTGGTGAAGACCCCCTGAGGTCTCACAAAATGTAGCAAACAATCTCTTTGGCTCCCATTTGCAGTTTGGGGTGGGATGAATTGCAGTTCACAGCTTAGTGAATAAACCCCTGGATGTATTAAGTACCCCATGACCACAACCACTTACAGTCCCTGATGGGGTGTATTTAGTTTTTGACAAATCACCCTAGTTTTGCAGTCATGGTCCCCAGGGAAGGCTGCAGGCACACATTATATAGTTATAGCCCCGTGTATTTCAGGCCATCAGAGCTAATTGCCCCAGCCCATAATCACTAGCCCACACCCAGCATACACTGACCCTGACACCTCTCACCTACAGTGCACAACCTGCTCAGGCGCGATAATTCTACGTCACCAAGCAAAGGGTGCCGGGAAATGTAGTTTATATTGCCTCCACCGCCCTCTAGTGTTTGGAGTTAGTTAATGCACAAATGGGATCAACCAGGTAGAAGTTTATTAATTTAACATTTTTACATCTCCATCATTTTATACATTATAATAGATTTCATAGCAATGCTGCACACAGATAATTTTATTTCCGGTTCAGGGAGATTTTATTATTTGCTAAAAGCAAAGTGTAATCTAAGATCGAAATAAGAATATCTAACTTGGAACCACAGTCAAATTTAATATAAAAATCAGTAAAGAGGAAAGGGCTTTGGCGTGTCCATCGTCTATTGTGTTATGAAAACCATGATAATTAATCAATAACCGTCAGCACTATATGGAGGACTATAAACACAGCTAAACATTTCATACTAACAGTAAACAGAGACTGATCTCATCACATCAAATATTTCATACAATCCTGGGTCTCTGTCTGCTTTCTACTGTTAATAGCACCAATCTTTTTTTATGTGTACTTAATGAAAATGTACTCTGGGATCCACCATCTGACGACGCGGTGGGTTATTAGTTTTAACTGGTTTACAATATGGAGGGGATGTACAGAATACCTTATTAACTTACTTCTCCCACTGGAAGGCTATTCCATGTATTCTATATCACTGTTACCTCTCCCACTGGAAGGCTATTCCAGGTATCTACCACCCTTTCTATATCACTGTTACTGCTCCCATTGGAAGGTTATTCCAGGTATCTACCACCCTTTCTATATCACTGTTACTGCTCCCACTGGAAGGCTATTCCTGGTATCGACTACCTTTTCTATTTCATGTGTAATCATTTCAATGGAAGGGTAGGACATGCAGCTACTACTCTGAAGGTAGTATTTTCTCACACTATGACGCAGTCTTTCACCATATTGTAATAACAGAACAGATTTTTTACTCAGCCAGAAAGGACATAAGAACTGTAGTGATTAAGATTCCTACAATGTTCACTGTCAGCCATCATTTGTCTGGAAAGGCACAATACTTTATCCGTTGGATCTATACTCTGGTAGTTGGTGTGCTAAGAGGAATCATTACTTGAAAGTGCTCCCATTATGGGTAAAATGTAATCTACAGCATGTTAATTCAGTTATTGTTTGGAGAACATTTGATTCAATAGTGAAATGTGAAGATTAAAGCTACAATGTAAATCTTATCAATGGCCATCATTCTGGGCACCCCGCAGAACTCATTCACTATTCAAGGTTGTGTGCAAAGGATTCTGTGCAATCCAGAACATGCATACTGCTCCCTGAGCAATCTACAGCAATAATCGATAGAGTAATGCAAATTGTCACCCATTCACACTTTAATTAATAACGTGTATATGTTTATATACTCTAATAATCTAACTGACCCACAGGGCCTTTCTAGATGACTGACTCATTGTGTTTGTCTTACTACATTACACCCCCGAAAAAAAAGAGACAAAGTCGTCGAGACATAACTTAAGAGTAAATTGTGTATAACCAGCACCAATATCGTTTAGAATCAGGAACAGAAACAATCTAGAACCAGGGAAGATTGGAGTCAATATTGATTGGTTGTGATTAATAAACACCTTTAGTACCATTCTATAACTGCCCCCTTCCACTATATAAAGAGTTAGGACGGAGCAGGCCCTCGCCGACTCTAGAAGGCACCGTTTATGGTCAGTACGATAGTCACTGTCCATCTCCCCCAGCTGTATTTTCATTGGGTAATGCTTGTGGCTGCCCCTCATTCTCTTTAGCCTGTTTGAGATGGTCTGTAGGTGTGATAGAAATATCCTGGGTGGGGTCTGGACCAGGGACATTTTCACTCTCTGGAACCAGCACAGGCTCTTTCTGAGGCAGTAATCCTTCCATTGCTTCTTGCAGCACGCCAATATCAATGGAGCCTAAATTTCCATAACGGGACAGCTGTGTTGGTGCAACACCTATAGGGAGATAACGCAAGAGAAACGGCACATAAAAAGCTATTTTACCAGTTCCAATGTTTAGCAGAATGAAAAATATATTTCTTCCAGCACTTAATGCACAGTGATCTGATTACAAGCTATAGCCACCAAAACAACTCTAGCTTAATGGAAAATAAGTATTTCATAAAGATAAAAATTCCACTGAAATTCAAACGCAGTTAAGAGATAGAGTGAGGACTCTGTATATTTCCTACACCTGACACTTCTAGACACGGCCAACATACAGCAGGATCCAATGGCATGGAAGAGTCACATGTCACAAATCTCTGTTTAAACCCCATCGACTGGGTACCTGTGCCCCTTCAGCTTGACAAATTATGGAAAACTGGTCAAGTAAATACTCCACTACTCTGTGAGCACAATGTTATCCTTACAGCAGCGATGGGCGACTTCTCAGCATGCAATTAGCCATCACTGCTTCCACCTTTATTGTGTGCGATGTTAGTAGGTTTAATGTGGTTTATCGAATTCTGAGTATAGTATGTGCGCTCCAAAAATCCATACCTCGGTTATTGGGGCCCCCCCCGAGGTCAGGTACGCTCCGAATTGGTGCATCAGTGGGTTTTTTGGATATTGCCTTTTTATGTTCGGTGCTATATATTTTTTTAAGTATATTTTTTGTGTACTAGTGATCTGCATATATTTTAGAGAGGGGTGCACATACAATGTTTGACTTTAACTATTTCTGTTACATACCACCTACATTTTCCAATAAGAAAGTCGACCCCTTCTGTGTGCACACTAAACTTTCCATTTTGGGCTGCAACATGCAGTTAAAACCCCTTCAGTGACTTACCGGAGTCCAGCAACGATGTCCCTCGGCGCTGGGTCAGGCTCCGCAATAGGCGCGTGCGCATTAGACCTCCCCATAGGAAATCATTATTCAATGCTTTCCTATGGGGTTTCGGGCAACGCTGGAGGTCCTCATGCATAACGGGAGTACGTCCAGCGTTGTTTAAAAAAAACTTTTCGTGTTCTAAGAACATGGAAGTCCCTCTATTGGACGACTTAACCGTGCAAGGTAATTAGTTTATAAAAACTGCAATAATTACAGTTGCAGGGTTACTCCATTCCAATGGGCAAAAGTGGTCTGGGTGTCTGGAGTGTCCCTTTAATATGTTTTATCATCAGAGGAAACTGATTACATTAAAAGCTATGAATGGATCCAGGAGATGCTCACCCAGGATCTGAGCCCTCTGCGCCGGTGGGAAGAGAACTTGTAGGCAGCGGTTTAAATATGGTGCCAGGTCCTCCAGGAACACAGTGCAGAACTGGATGAAAAGTTCACGCTCTTGGGCACTAAATGCAGCTTCCTCTGCTCGATGAATGGACAGGATGGTCTGAACAATCTTACAGACAAAGAACAGGTACAGATGAGAAAAATACAACAATGAAGATCATTACTTATCAAAGAGAAAATTAACATCTCGATTTAAAGGGATCCCAAACACCTAAAACACTTTAACTTAATGAAATACTTAAAATAACCTGGTAACATCCCCTGGCTGTCAATCAGACAATCAGTCTTGTTACTTCCTGGTTGTTTAGCTCAGTGGAGATAAACTAAAAAGGCAGCAATTGCCCAGAGCACCTGCCTTGCAAAGACTTCTCACGGAGCTGCATTTGGGAGTCTGTGATTGGACAGACACAGAAAGGCTGAATATGGAACCCCTAATGAAATTGAAGCATCTTTTCATTTGGGGTACATATACTATAAAGGATTTATTTTTTTTCTTTGGTATTTGGGCAGTGGAGTGTCCCTTTAACTTTTACCGTTTGGAGAGCAATAGCTAATTTCTTTTAATCACATGACAGAAAATGCTGAAGGCAGAAAAAGCATATAAATTGAAAAAACAAAAAAATAGTGAGCACTTGATCAGATAACTAGCAATTCGATTAAACAGACATTAAAATCCTTGTGAGGAAGGGAGAGTGGGAAAGGTAGGCAGGAATTTCTTTTAAAAAAAAAATCTAAAAAGATATTTATGTCAGTGTTTCTTTAAGTTACTTTTTGACTCTTGTGTTTAGAACCTTACGGAAATATCTGATAATATACAGCCTGTGCTGATGTTTATATTGTCGCTTTACATAGTGGTTTATAATCTCTGTTTAGTGACTGTCTTAATGTAGACCAGTATATCCAATTGGCTAAGAGGGATTCTATGCTCTCACAGTTCTTATAACACCAGATTTACCTGTAACCTTGTACCAACGACAGTCAATTCATTATTTCTTTAAAAAGTAAATAAAAATCTGAAAAACTATAAACTTATTTTAAAAAGCTCTATTCTACAGATTCTAGAGCTGCTGAGCCAGTATTTCTGGTATAT